CCAAGTCCAAAACTCCGCTAAGCTCGTTAGAGCACACTAATGTTGTCTATCAGATTCCCTGTTCTGAATGCAATTCCTGCTACATTGGCCAGACCAGTCGGTCACTTCTAGGGCGTATAACTTCACATAAAAGCGACATTAGACTTTCCAAACCCTCTTGTGCCCTTGCACAACACGCCATTTCCACCAAACATCACATTGACTTCTCAAACACTAAAATACTGGCGAAACAAAATAACCATCAAAAACGCTCCTTTATTGAAATGTGTGAGATCTTAAAAAACCCTTTTGCAATAAACAAAAGAACCGACATCGACAATTTGAGCCAGGTTTACCACTCTCTCATCTTACGAAATAAATAATACCATTATTCATCATTAAAAATGACCCCCGTAGAAGTTCATAATTGTCTCAAACCTTGGAATTAGTTGCACATATGGCCCTTAAAATTTTCGGTACCGTGTCACGTCGTTTGCAGAGATTGCAATAAATCAGTGTTTGTTTGTCTTCATTGGAGAACGATCTCTAAATGAAGCCAAATGTACGTTTTAAAATTTTGTTAAATCTTCGTTTCTGCGAATGAGATAATTTTTGCAAAGATTTTGTGTTCTTTGTTTCTGGTTTTTTTTAAGTTAGTTCTATATTAATGAGTAAACTTAAGTACATATTTATTAACATCTTTAATACTACATATTGAGTTGTAAGTAATAAATTATTATATCTGTATTTCTTATAAACTCTATGTCATCTTTGTATTTTAGAGAACTGATGAAGCTTTAGAAGTATAAAGCGAAACGTTTTCTATAAACTTATGAAGTAGTTGACTTCTGTTTTTTATTTGCCAACCTTAATGACCGATTAACCTCTGAATTCACCAGTTGAATAATTTATTAATATATATATATATATATATATATATAATATATATATATATATATATATATATTTCTCATAAATCAATTTCTTTTTTACAAAACTAAATCACTACAGCATGTAGAATTCAACATTTATTAAGCTATATTTACATAATACTTTTTTGTACTTCATAATACATAAAATAATTAAAATTTCCTTTAATTCCTAATACCGTCACATAATTTTCTTCTTCAACTCTTTTCTATTGAAACCTAAATGCAGCCATAAACCTGTCTCCATATGCGGTTTAACTATTATGCTAACTTCGGGAGTTTATTCTCCAAACTCGTGGATGCACCCAAATCGAGAAAATCTCTAGTCAGCTCAACTTCCTGTGGAGTTCACATTACTACATAGTGGAAGTGAACATGGATTCAGTGGCGGATAACAAATAAATTCTTGTTAGCAAATATGAAAGAGTTTTTTAATAAAGAGAAAAATGTTAAGTATATATTTTACTAAAAAGGTATCTAAGCTTGAATATTGTACAAAAAAGATCGGTATGAGCAAAGTAAGTAAATACTGATTTTTTTTTTATTTAGAATTTCCGCATCAACCATTAAAGGTTATTAGCGGGTTTTACAGATTTTACAGTTGTTATTACAAATACAAATTTACTAATTACAAATTGCGTATTAAATTAAACATAATAAATTACAAATTACACAGAGATACATAATATAACTTAAACTTTGTGTAGTAAACGTATGTCCTTAAGGAATTTGATTGTATTAGATACATTACTGTTTAAAATATCTTTAAGTTTCTTTGCTTCTTCTGGTACGTTGTTGATGACTCTTTCGTAGGAATAAAGAGGACATTCAATCAATACATGTTGAACAGTTATTGGACATTCACAATAGGAACATTCAGATGGTAGTTCTTTTGTTATGAGATGCTGGTGAGTTAACGCTGTGTGTCCAATTCTCAGTCGGTTTATAATCACTTGTTGCCTTCTGTTTTCTGGAAATTGTAGTTTAGTGCCAATCCTAGTTTTCACGTTTTTAAGGTTAGCCTTAGTAGAATTCAACATTTGTTGCCAATTTTTTACACAGTGCTGTTTAATATTGAGCGGGATATCACTGAAAATACTGATTTATTAATGCCAAAAAGATATGGAAAACCAAATCAGTAAATTGTAAATATTAGTATAAAACTTTAAATCTTCTGCTTTGATTAGATCTTCATTTTTTTTCTTGAGATGCTTCTTTTAGACATTATAGTAACATTGTTCTTATTACTTTTGTAATAACATTGTTTTTTTAATTAGTTGATGAATGATATATTCTAGTAATATATCATCATCGAATCTCGCATTTTTTTTTAACATTCCATTTATTTACAATCTGTAATAATGATTACAATAATTAAATTGTTTAATTAGATTATAAGAGACTTGCAGGAGACTCTCTCATGACAATAACCTATTAAATTATAATTTTAGTAACAACATTATTTGTTACTCTAATAAAATGTTTATAACCAAAATAATTTTTAATTTAAAAATTTAAAATTTTGTTAATAGATCACTTGGAGTAAGACGCTTTAGCCTTCTGTTTGCCTGGGGCCACATAAGGTTCTTAGCTAGCCTGTTGGGGTGGTTTTGCAGTCATCTGTCACATTTTCGGCAGTAACTGGCAATTTCTTCTTTGGCAGTTTTCATCTAAAGATCGCGGTTGATGAATTCATTGAGCATGTACCAAGGTGCATTTGTGGTAATGCAGAAGGTCTTCGATTGAAATCTTTCCATTATGTCGATATTGGATATTTACGCAGATCCTCACAGTTGGATCACATAGCTCTATATTGACTTTATTACTGATTTGTATACTAGGATTTCATTGTATAAATTCAGTTGTGATCTTTTACCTATTAGCCAGTACATTTTACTGAGTTTCAGACATAAAACTGTTTTCTTTGCGTGAATATGTGTTTCTTTAACGTTAATCTGCTGTCCAGGTGCATACCTAAGTATTTTACATCATCCTTTTGTTGTAGTATTTGGTTATTTAATGAGACGATTTGGCATGTGCCTTTTTGATTAATGAATCCTATATGTACTGACTTGCCTTCGTTAACTTTAATTTGCCATGTTTGAAACCAAATCTTTATTTTGGCGAGATTAATCTGGAGCAGTTGTGAGGCGATATATGGGTTTGAGTTAGCTGCAAAAATTGCTGTGTCGTCTGCGTAAAATATCGAGCAGTTGTGAGGCGATATATGGGTTTGAGTTAGCTGCAAAAATTGCTGTGTCGTCTGCGTAAAATATCGAGCAGTTCCTACTTAGATACCATAGACTACGTTTTCCTTGGGATGAATCTATATATTTATCACAGATATAAGAAAGAAAAAGTTTTCTGAGAACTATTCGACGACAAAATGATTTAGAATGTTCAAGACTAGGATGAATTTTTTTTTATCAGACGTCCCTTTGCAGTGCCAATGATGAAAAAAGTGATAAACTGCCGTTTATAGTTATATGTTTGCGGTCATCTGTGTTTGTCATTATCTTTGTTTTTTTCATATTCATTTTTAGGCCGACGCGACGTATTGAGAGCTGGCTGCTAGTTCCCCTAACATAATTTGCAGTTCCTCGAATGTGCTCGCTATAATCACTATGTTATTGCCATTAGGTTGACCAATTTGTAGTTTTGAAGACGTCTTCTAGGGCTAGGTTGAAAAGCTTTGGCGATATTACGTCTCCTTGTCTTACTCATCTCTTAATGGGGATGGGATTTGTATTTTCGTCTAGTTGTTCTATCATAGTTGCATTTTCATATATATATTATGTATTAGTTGCCTATATCTCGAATCCATTCTACAATTATTATTAGCTTGTTCTATGGCCCACATCTCGATACTATCAAACGTCTTTTCATAGTCGACGAAGGCAAGAAATACGGGTAGTTGGTATTCAGTTGCCTTTTCTATCAATATTCTCATTGTCAGTAGATGGTCTGATGTACTATATCCTTTGCGGAAGCCAGCTTGTTCAACCGGTTGGTAATTATCCATTTTGTAGGTTAACCGGATATTAATAATTCTCATAAATAGTTTGTATAATAATAACAGATAAAAAATTTATAGTTAAAAATGTCACTGTACTCAACAGCTTCACAACAGGAAGTGATCACAGAATGGTTCGCGCTAGAATAGAAATTAACATCAATAAAGAGAGAAATAAACTAATAAGAAAGAAAAAATTGAAAGCATGGTCACAACCAAAAAATGAAACAGAGTTTGCAGATCTTCTTTCCGTCATTAGCTGTTTAGTTTCATTGCTTATTTTGTCTTCTTTAGTCCTTATTTTATTTGCGACCCGTAGTCCTGCTGCAAAAAGGTTTTTATTTAGGTTTTTTATTAATCTCGTCAATTTGATCTTGATTATGTGAAGGATCAGTTTCGAACTTATCCGCTAGGACCTCTCGGAATTGCTCTTCATTTGTTCTTAGTTTAAAGGCATCTATCCTCGTTGTTTTAATTTAAATCTTTTTTCTCTCTTCTTTAATGTTAATATTTATTTTTGCTCTGACTAAGCAAATATTATAAAAGAATTATCTAATTTAAAACAAAAAGAACAGGACAGAGTTTTGTTGAGGTTCGACGAGTGGACCTCACAAAAAAATCACAGAAACCTAAATCTCAATTTGCATTTGCACAATGCAGAACATTTTAATCTAGGTTTGATTAGAATTTACTCTCGTACACTGCCAAACTCTGCATTGAATAAGTGACAAAACGCTGAAAAAATGTTTTGGTTTAATGATTGACTTTGACACCATTGGTATCACAAGCAACAGCGCAGCCGTTATGATAAAAGTTGCCATGCTCATACCTTACTATCAACAACTGTCCAATGTTCATGGAATTCAGTTGGCTGTAGTAGACGTACTGTATAAAAAGAAATTTTAAGGAGAAGTAGAACAAGCAGCAATAAACAACACTGATGAGTATAAAGACAAAAATAAAGATATGGATATAGACATGAATGAAGAATTGAATTGTTGAATTAATTCGTCGTTACAGCGATCTACTCATGAAAATACGAAATGTTGTTAAAAAATTTAAAAAATTATCTACTACAGACATGTTCTTGTAAAAATATGTTAAAAAGAGCATGGCAAGAAATCAAGTTTAATCTTAAACCGGTGAAACTGACTGTACAAGCTCTTTGTAGAAGTTTACCTTTTAAAGGAAGTTTACCTTCTGATATTCAATATGACCAGAATGGTCATACTATCGTTCGCGAAGAGGAGGGACGTAGTAAAACTAACTCTGTTTATATTTGCGGAAAATGCAAGGTTTACTTGCACGCTGACTGTTTTAGTGCTTTCCATAAAAAATTGAGATCCCATAATGACGCTAGTGCCATGCTACTACTGCCAAGTAATCACTTTATTTTCTATAATTAACTATTGTAGCAATATATGTAGTTTTTAATTGATTAAACCAAGAAATTTCATTTACACACTATAAAACGTATAACTTTCAATTTACTACATATATTATGCCAAAGTTTCGTTAACGAAACATTATTTTTTTGTATATTGGAATTATTTTTGTTTATAATTTTAGGTGAAATATTGTTATTATGCCTTTATTTATAAGGCATATAAACTTGAATTGCAAAAAATCTGATTACAGTGGAACCTCGATTATTCGTCTCTTTATTAACCGTCACCTCTGTTAACCGTCAGGGTCCATACATAAGTTATATTGACTATATAAGTAAAAATTTAGTAATCAATTATTTTATTTGAGCATTGCGATAAGCCAAACGAAATTCGATTTAAAGAAAAATGCTGAAGGAATTGAAGTATGCTTCGCAAATGGAATCGTTGGATGGCCGGATAAAACATCGTAAGGCAATGAAAAACGCCACAAATGAATCACTTAACACGGCTCTGTATTTTTTTGTTCAAAAAAGAAGCGAAGGTGTTCCGTTTTCTGGACCAATTGCTGCCGAAAAAGCGTTGTTCTTTAACATGGAATTAAATGGCAATCCTTCATTCAAAGGAAGCAGCGGTTGGTTGGAAAAGTTCAAAAATTGCCACGGTATACGGGAAGTGAAAATCGAAGGTGAAAAATTGAGCTCCGTAAGTATTGAAGTTGTTGACGAAACAAACTTACTGAAAGTATTGAAAGTTTCAAGCTATGATCGATGAATATGGTTTGACACGCGTGTGTTCAATGCGAATGAAACTGGTTTAAACTACAAAGCATTACCAACGAAAACACTCGCTGCACTGTCTGAAAAATATGCACCCGGATTTAAAACGCAAAATAAACGAATTACAGCAATAATGTGTTCAAATGCAAGTGGTGACCATCGCCTTCCTTGATTATTGATTTGTACAGCAAAAAAACACGTTGTTTCAAGGGTATAAATGGGAACGCACTTTCCGTTAACTACTACGCACAACATAATGCATGGATGTCCCAGGAAATATTCGCTGACTGGTTCAAAAATGTATGTACTGCAAACCAGAATTTGTTTGTCTATTTTTCTAACGTCTTGTTTTTAGCTTTTCTCATTTTGTACAATGCCCCTGCTCATCCTGAAGTCGGTATGCTGCGAAGTGACGATGGAAATATCACGTGCTCTTTTCTGCCTACGAATAAATCATTGATACAGCAAATGGATCAATCGGTCATTAAAACATTCAAAAGAAGATATAGAAAAAAATTGATTCAAAACCTAGTTATGGAAGAGGAATATTCTTTGCCAGAATACTGGAAAGCACACAATTTAAAACACGCAATCGACAATGCTGTGGATGCTTGGGCTGATGTTTCGTAACTAACGCTGAAAAGAGCGAGGAATGAATTATAACCTGAATCAACTCAAGATTAAAATGCCACTGTGACAGCCGAGCATGATGCGGTAACAAATGAAGTTATGGCTGAATCAACTGTTTTGTTTTCGTTGCCTAAAGATGCCATAAACGAATGGTTAGTTTGTGATGAGGATGCAAACGGCTATCGATTGCTAACATATCATAAAATCGTTAAAATGGCAACAGAGGCGGACGAAACTGATTCAGAAGCTGACACAAACTTTGACGGTGGTGATGTTGATGATGCTATTGCAACAAAGATTTGCGTAGAGAAGTTGAGAAGCTGCATCGCACATACAAAAATTCATCGAGTTGTATTCTCAGCAAAAAAAGCAAATAACGTAGATTTGATGATTTTACGTCGATTAAGAAATTCAGCCGTTGCAAAATGTGAAATAACAATAAAACAAACAAAGATTTCGGAATATTTTAAATTAAACTGGTTCGACCGTACTAACATAAATCCCCCTTATATTGTCAGATAAAACGTACAAATAAAGTTTGAGAGTTATACTATGAATTTTTTTAATGTTCTGTTAACCGTCTTTTCGATTATCCGTCATACCCTTGGTCCGGTGCCCTGACGGATAATCGAGGTTCCACTGTATTTCAATGCTTGGCCATTAATGGGTTAAATAAATATTAGATTTATGCAAACTCTGTCGATTAAAACATTTGTTCGTAAAAAGTACTTTAAAACTGGCCCAAAAATGGAATTGTAGAAAAAGATAATCAATCCAATATTGTTTCTGAAATTTTTTATATCAGATTTCTTACTTATAAACTCTTACTCGGTACTGGTTAAACTAATATTTTCCCTTTATATTTAACCCAGTTTTTACGTATATAATTAATATTTATTTCACGGTGGATACTTATTCATAGAAATATGAATGCCCCTGCCGTCCTGCCTCCGCATCCACCCAAATTGACTATTCATACACATACATTCTCCATAAAAGCGAGCGGCAAACTTTCCGGAGCTTTATTGAGTCGGAAAATTAATACGCCTGTTAACTGAAATAAATAGGCATTAGCTTCGTAAAGTCATATCAAAGTTCCATAATAAATAATGTGGCTATAGTGCTGTCGAATTAAATCAGATTTGAGAGGTGTTCAAGTAGAAGTTCGTGAATATTCAGAAATTAGAGATTCGAAATAATCAGACCGAGAGATGTTTCGTACGTGGAAAGAATTTTGTCATTTTATTGTTTGTAATTGAGAAAATGTATTATGGGAAGAAAGAACAATAGATTATTACTCTTTCTTCAAGCTTTTTAAATTCAAGAGAGAATATTGGATACTGTGATAAAGTGTACAAAAAATATGTACAGTAAAAATAATTTAATGAAAATCAACACATTACTAGTAAAAGTAGATATAGTTGTCGTGAGTTTTCTCTGGAAGATTCATTAACTAAGGAGTGGCTTTGGATGTTAAAGCGTGGCACTGCATGTCCTCAGCATACTTTTCATAAGATGGTACGTAACCACGTAGTGCTAATCGCAAGCATGATGTCATATGATCGTCAGTTAGTCGATTGCGATATTTTGACTTAATTATCTTCATTTCAGAAAATGCAGACTCGCACAAGTAAATTGACCCAAAAAATGCCGTCAGTTGAAGGGCGATTTGCCTTACATTCGGATATTTATCTTCAGGTATAAAACGCCAGAAATTTGTATCAGATACTGTAGCTTTGAGATGTATATCTGATATAATCTGCACCAACTCATTTTTAACAGAACATGAGTTCATATTAAACTGACTTGCTATTTCAGTAGCTAATTCCTCAATGTTTTTACATGAAAAAGGATAACTCATAAATGATGCTATATTTTACAATTTACTGCAATCATAAAAACGCGTTTCGAATTGTCCCAAAATATTTGATAATTCAGCCTCATACGTATCGTAATTCAACGGAGGAATCCTTGCTTTCAAAGATGGAAAATGTTTCAGATCCTTTCTTTTCAGTTGATCTATCATAAGTTGCAATTTACTTTTGAATGCGTTTACTGCGCTAATCATCTCAATAATAGTTTTTCCTTTACCTTGAAGCTCTAAGTTAACGGTGTTTTCATTTTTCGTTTTTCAAAATCTGAGTATTATCACCTCTTTTGTCTAGAAAAGCTGTTATTTCGGGCAATAATTCTTGAAACCTTTCTAGAAATATTCCGCGACTCAACCACCTGACGTCCGTGTGAAGAACTAAATCAGTGTGAACGGGCTTTTCGACTTATTCTAGGGATTGGTAACTTTAGAATACAGACTATCCTCCACAATTATGCAATCTATGGTAATGTTGCTCAGGAAAGAAGAGGTGGTGACCGCATTTCTAATAAATTCAATGAGAGACAACAAGGTGTTATAAAATACATCAGCTCTTTAAAGTGTTTAGAATCGCATTATTGTCGTAGCAATACTCGTCGAAGTTACCTTTCCTCTGATTTGAGTATAGAAAAGTTAGCAAATATGTACAACGCTTAAGCCAACGAGAACTTGAAAGTCAAAAATTCGTACTTTCGCCAGATTTTTGTGCATAAGTTTAATTTGGGCTTTGGTTCACCTAGGGTTGATGTATGCTCGACGTGCCTGGAACATTCAGAAAAAATAAAGCAAACAACTGATCCTCGGTAAACCGCATCTTTAAAAGCTACCCAAGCTATTCACAAAAAAAGGGCTAAAGCTTTTTTTGCATTACTAAAAGTACAAGAAAATGAAACTCTTACGCTCTCATTCGATTGCCAGAAAAATTTGCCCAGTTTAAAAAATTCCAGATCAGGAGACTTACTATCGACGTCAACTTTACCTCTTTAATTTTTCTATTGTTGTTGGTAGTTCTCAGTGCAAAATGTCTCCAAATAATTGCTTTAGCTACGTATGGACAGAAGGAACTTATCCAAAAGGTTCAAATGAGGTAGCGTCATGTGTATTTTATTGTCTGCAAAACTTAGATACATCACAAATTAAGAAGATAAAACTTTTTGCAGATGGCTGCGGCGGCCAAAACAAAAATAAAACTATGATTGTTATGCTACACAGATGGCTTCTATTTGCTCCTAAGAACGTTGAAGAGATACAGTTGATATTTCCAGTACGAGGCCATTCTTTTACACCACCAGACCGTTTATTCGGTCTTTGCGAAAAAGACTTCAACAAAAAAGAAATTATCGAGACTCCAGATGGCTATGTTAAACTAATTGAAAAGTATGCTACAATAAGACGACTAGGTATTAACGTAGATATTTTTGATTGGAATCAAGAGGCAGTAGATCATTTTAAACCTATTTCTCAATGGCACTTTAAATTTCAGCCTTCAAAAAACGTACAATTCAAGCGAGCAGCCAAATCCCAGCACATGATTCTCATCCAAGCAGAACAGTTTTATTACCACTCCATTGGTAATTTCAAATTCATTATGAAAGGGAAAGAAAATGTTTCTTTGGCTTCTGACAAAAGGCTTCTTGAATTGCACTTTGAGTCTGATTGGCAATCTAATCCATGCTTAAAGTTTTACGTCAATTTTTTTTGCTTCTTGTGAAGGACGTAGTGAAGTTGGTGCAGAAGTGGAAAAAGATTTATGTGGCATAACTGAAGAAGCACCAGAATTATGTGTCTAAAATGTTATTTTTTTCAATTTTCATTAAGAATGTAATAAAATCATCATACAATATATTTTTTACTCACTTCTTAATTAGTTGTTATTACTTTCAAATTAAAGCAAAATGAATGAACTCCATAAACTGAGATACAAAATGCAAAAAATTCAACTTTTGGGAGCAAAACAGATGAAATCCATTTTCAAAATAATAATTGAGCCGTTTAGAAATTTTTTGAGAACTCAAGATTTCTGCACAATAATTTACTCAAATATCTAAACATATTTTACATGTTTTCAAAATAAAGTATCTTAATATGAAGCGACCACCGTTTTTTGCCCTTTTCTCAAAAGTGACGTCTTTGGACTTAACGCGTTTTGCTTCTAAGCACCTCAAATAATTGATAAAATTTTAAATCAAAAACTACCCAAAAAGCCCTGAAATTAGTATTTCCACCACTAGAGAAAAATCCAGTACCTTCTGCTTGATTACATATACAGGCACAAAATATAAAAAAAAATAGCCAAGCACATAAAAAAGAAAGGAATAACACCAGCTTTCCGAAAAAATAACAACCTAGGCAAATATATTAAAAACATCAAGAGCCAAAATAAATAACACTTACACAGTGGTGTGTACAAACTTAAATGTGGCGACTGCGCAAAAACTTACATCGGTCAAACTGGTAGAAACTTTAATAAACGGATAGCAGAACATAAAAGGGCTTTCATAATAATCATTCATTCATTCATAATCATTCTTTTAATGACGAATTTAAAATTTTTCACATTCAAAATAAAGGCCTTAAGATATCTTTGTTAAAATCTATGGAAATCAACAAAGATATAATTTTGAATGACCAACTTGAGACAAAGAGTTCTCCCCTCCTTAACCTATTTCATTAGAGACTATAAAGTGTAAACGCATGCCAAAAATAGATCACTTGAAAAAGACAATCAGCCGAAACAGCTGTAGTGATAAGAAGTTAAAATAAATTTTGTGGAAGTTTGAAAACAAAGTTTTCAGTATTTTATTGTTACATAAAATGAATTCCCATCAAGTAATAGTCGAATGCATCAATTTCTCTTAATTTTTCTAGCAGTCTAACGCCTTTTTATAATTTATAAAACGTGCCTTACTTCTTTTAATTATGTGCAAATTTGATCGTTTATTCCAAAGTATCTTTTAAATATAAAATTATGTAGAGATTGAAATTGATCTATGAAATTAATACACACCAGGTTAGCAGTGTGACTCAATGTTCGTATTCAGTTTCTGATCGATTGAGCCGAACCGGATCTCACCTCGGTTCGCAATTGAATATATCCTATTTCATCATCAAGTATTCCAAATGACTATATCAATAATTAAAATAGCTTTAATCAAACACCAGATTGGGTCTTTAGCGTTCATCAAACTCTAATTATAGAATATAACAGCTATGTAAAATTTAATTGACAAACGAATTTCTGTAATATTCCAAATTATTTACGAGTTTAATTATATTTTGAATATGTTTTGTAATGATGTTTTCAGATATTAGGAACAAATTGAGTTTGTACGACGTTTATTATCGACGATGGGAAGTTTCCAGCAATATTGTTTGGATTTACAAAGCTCACTCTGCTACAAAATTACTTAATTCTAGTGGAACTTGGTTTGTTTTCCTTAAATAAATATTAAATATCTATTTACTCATCTAAAATTCATAACCTACTGAGTACGAAAGGGATATTTTGTAATTGTGTTTTAGAGATTTTCAATTATCCTCAACAGATTTTCGTTGTCGTATAATTATAGCAGAGACAGTGATTGCTTTATACATTTCGGAAATATGATGTAGTTGCAATATTAATTTTATTTTATACCTTTGTTCTTTTTTTAGCAATATATTCACATTCGTTCATGCACCTTACCTATGGTATACAGGGTGGTCCTTAAGTAATTGTATAAAGAAAAACCGCAGATTCTTCACTTTAAAATATTACGATTTAAGCCAAATTGCTTTAATAAAATGTTGATATTAAGAAAAATACAGGGTGATAAATTAGAAGTTTAAAATTTTAATTTTCACTATAACTTTCATGTTTGTAAACATTTATGTATTAAAATTCATAACTGGGTACTATTGAACATCAGGAATTATAATTTAATGCATACTTTAATGTAGCTGAGGGCACCCCATACATTTGCACTTAACTTTTTTGCTCTTTATTAAAAATATTAAGGATACAATATTTTAACAAAAAAAAGTTATACTTGTTAATGACTTCAAACCTTAACAATTTTCGAGATAATCTCATTTTACAAATCAACTACATAATTCAGATTTAAAGCAATTACTCCAGGCAACGAAAAAAAAATAGGACAAAACCATCAATACTTCTGAATTTTAGTATAAAATGCCTTTATTAAACTGAATAGTTATCGAGATATTAAATAACATAAACTTTTTGTCATAGTAAGTGTTCGATATGTCCACCATACTCTTTAATTAATTTGTCAATACATTTTATAAAATATCATCTCAGATTAAACAGCATCATTGGTTCTAAAGAAATTACTATAATAAGTATTATAAGCATAGTGTATAATAAATATAATATAATACCTAATAAAGTATTCGTTTGTGATTTTTATGAATTAAATAATTATATTAATAACTCACCACATGACCAAGGAATATGACTACCACGAACAATCCAACGTTCAGGAAATGTGTATTTAATTATGTTCCCACTGCCCTTTCTCTATACTGTGGTGGTGTACCACCTTGCATAATCCTAAACATATTTCGCCTTAAGTTTGATGACAATTCTTCCAATAACTCAATAAAATCATTTTATAAAAATTGTAAATAAATACAAATATTACCAAACCATACGATATGCATTTTATACATAAATTTTAAATAAACGTATGATTTGGAACCATTGGTAATTATTTTTTACGGACATACGAATTATCTTGTAATTTGAAAGGTGAGAATTACTTCCATTTTTTTATAAAATGATTTTATTGATTTATTGAAAGAATAATTATGATCAAACTTAAGGCGAATATGTGGTTTATGCAAGATAGTATACAACCACATTATACAAGAACATAATTAAATACAAAAAGAGGTTAATCTTTGTAAATGGGTATATATATTTAATAAACCCTTAAAAGGGCCACATCAATAAAACAAACGTTTTCGGACCACACAGTCCATCATCAGGTTATTAAAATCGAAAATGCTAGGTCACAATGCCTGAGCCACCAAAATATTAGGGTAAAAACCCTTTAAATTACATTTAGTTATGAAATATTGTACATTGTGTTATAAAATAACTGTGATGTTCAGTATTAAATGAAATTTGACTATAGGTAACACATGGCTCAATTGAGTTCCAGAGCCGATGAGAGGGAACCTCTGCACTCGGAGAACAACGTGGAACTGATTGACACAGTTATTTTATAACAAAATGTACAATATTTCATAACTAAATGTAATTTAAAGGGTTTTTACCCTAATATTTTGGTGGCTCAGGCATTGTGACCTAGCATTTTCGATTTTAATAACCTGATGATGGACTGTGTGGTCCGAAAACGTTTGTTTTATTGATGTGGCCCTTTTAAGGGTTTTTTAAATATATATACCCATTTACAAAGATTAACCTCTTTTTGTTATACGTGGTATACAGCCAGCTACAGGAATTTTTCCTTGTGGATTTTGATAATTAAATACAACTTTCCTGAACGTTGGATTGTTCGAGGTAGTAATATTCCTTGGTCATGTGATGTGATATTAATATAAATATTGAAATCATAAAAAATCCCAAAATAGTACTTATTAATATATTTATAATACTTGTAGTAAAAACTGCAGCAGTTTCTTTAGAACCAATGATGCTATTTAATATGAAAAGAGATCTTTTATGGAATGTATTGACAAATGATTTAAAGAAAATGCTGAACATATCGAACACTTACTTTGACAACAATTTTATGTTGTTTAGTTTAACTATTTCTTAATTGCATTACTTCAATGCATTTTACAATGTAAAATTGAAGGAAAAAGGGCCTCAGGACAAAGAAGAATATCCTGGCTTGCTAACCTGAGAGCATGGTATAGAAAGGCCTTAACACAGCTATTTCGTACAGTAATCAACAAAGTCATTATAGCCAGAATGATCGCCAATGTTCGGAACGGACATTCACCCTAAGAAGAAGATTTATTACTGTGGTTCATCAATAAAATGTTTTGGTTATGTTTAATTTAATATAAAACATAAAATGTTTCATGCAAAATCCAATCATTCTGTTATTTTGTCAAATCCTATTGCAAATTATCCTGCTAATATATTTATTTTATTTAATATTTCGTTAACTATTAACTTTATTAAAGGCATTTTATACCGAAATTCAGAAGTAATGATGTTTTTGTCTAATTTTCTTTTGTTGCCTTGAGTAATTGCCTTAAATCAGAATTATGTAGTTGATTTGTAAAATGCAACTGTCTCGAAAACTGTTTAGTTTTGAAGTTATTAACAAGTATACCTTTTTTTGTTCAAATAATGTATCTTTAATATTTTTTATCATGTAATAAAAATAAAAATAAAAAATAAAAATAAAAACGTTTATTGTTTAATAATATATAACATGTCAAACTTAAGAAATTTTTGCCTTCTTTCTTCGGCGTCCCGCATTTGCACCGCCAGCTTCTGTGGATTTTTCCTCTCGGATCCTGGTGTTTTCTCGGTGGTGTCCTCGTCTGCTTCTGTAGGTACTAATTGCAGGCAACGTACCTACATCTCTGCTTCCGGCTACCATCCGGCTAGACCCTGATCAGGTGGTCGATCAGTTTGTGGGTGGATCTGTACATCCTCTGAATCCTGTTCTTGTCCCTGGTCTTGCGAAGTCTTCGTGTAGCCTGGTTGAAGAAGTACCTGGTTCTTTT